CACATATTTCTAAGTGCACCCGAGGTGAAGTGTGCATCACCGGTTTCTCCTTGGTTGTTAAATGGTGTTTGGTTGTGGAGATGTACAGTTTTGTTTCTCTCGTTAGTGTGTAACTCTTAGAATAGATTAGTGTTTTAAATCTGTTCTCTATTCCTGCATGGTGATGGGTGACTAGCTCTTAAGCACTGCCCCACACCCCTTCCATGGCCTGCCTCGTTTCTCTTTGCTCGTTTAAGTTTGTCACCAGCTGTGCTGCTGGGTAGCCAGAGTCTTCCATGATGGCCATTGAAAGTTACATTAAGTAACATTTACGAAATAAAAACTTCTGGTTCCCATTCACACTTTTTATAGTGTGCGTGCGTGTGTGTGAGTGCATGTGCACATATGCATATGACAGCCAGGCCACCTTGTCTACCTTGCTCTTTTTTTTTTTTTTTTTTGAGACAGGGTCTCTCACTGGGACCTGGGCCTTGCCAATGAGGCTAGGCTGACTGGCCAAGCAGCCCTAGTTATCTGCCTGTCTCTGCCTCTCCTGCACTGGGATAGCAAAACTGTGCCAACAAACTGCAGCCAGTGGGTGCTGATGAGCAGAGGCAGACCATCGTCCTTGTGTTACAAGCAGCAGCTGTCACTTCAGCCCCTGCTTGTGGCCACGATTACCGTACTGAACTAGATTGTCGCAGAAAACTTGACATTATTGATGCGCTGTACTGGGCAGGTCTGACTTCTAAACACAGCTTCCGAAATCTGCCTGACTGTACGGTTTCACCTGACTTGAGCTAGCCTTTTGTGACCACTGTTGCCTCCTGGGAAAAGAAGGGGTTTGATGGTGCAGTGTCCTAAGTCCCTTTCTAATAGTTACACCTCTGTGTGGGGCAGCACCTGGCAGTAAGCTTATAACAATCCCAGCATCTCCAGATGGTATTCCAGACAAGGATGTAAGAGGCAGCGCAGTGGTGTGGCCGTGAATGTCCAGGAGCTCCATAGGTGACCGCTCTGTCGGACAGCTCTGCGAGACCAGTGCTCACATCGTGCATGCGTGGGGCTGACTCCTGATGCTTCCAGACCTAGTCTTTCCTCCTGCATTTGTATTGTGCTCTTAATCTTGGAATCGGAAGTGAGTGCAGTAGAGAGTGCTAATTAGTTTCTCTTTAGTTGATATCAGGCTCCTGCTGAACAATGGAAGCAACAACTAAACAGCGTGGAGATATCAGCAGCGTGTACCCTGCTTCTCAAGGATCGCCGCTGCGTTCTGTGACAGCGTCAGTGCAGACGGGAGAGCATTTTTATACCTATAGATATCTAGTAGACATTGGAGCTAAGAGATAGCAGCACACTTGTGGACGACATGTGTGTCCTAAGAGATAGCAACACATGTGGACATGTGTGTCCTAGGAGATAGCTGCACACTTGTGGACATGTGTGTCCTAAGAGATAGCTGCACACTTGTGGACATGTGTGTCCTAAGAGATAGCTGCACACTTGTGGACATGTTTGTCCTAGGAGATAGCTGCACACTTGTGGACATGTGTGTCCTAAGAGATAGCTGCACACTTGTGGACATGTGTGTCCTAGGAGATAGCTGCACACTTGTGGACATGTGTATCCTAGAAGATAGCAGCACACACACACACGTGTGTGTGTGTGTGTGTGTGCGCGCGCGCGCGCTCCAATGCATGTGGAACCAGAGGTCAGATGTCTTCATCAGTTCTTCGCTACTTTTATTTTTATTATTTATTTAATTTACGAATTAATTTACTTGTTTATTTTCTAGGTAGTTCCTCTCTATGTAGTCCTGGCTGTTCTGGAACTCGCTATGTAGACCGAGCTGTCCTCAAACTCAATAGATCACCTGCCTCTGCTGGGGTTAAAGGCATGTACAGTCACCATGCCTAGCTTGACTTGATGTCTTGAGATACTGTCTCACTGATAATATAGTTTGCTAGACTACATGGTCAGCAAGACCTGGGGATCCTCCTGTCTCTGCCTCCCCAGCATGAGGATTACAGGCACATGGCACCACATCTGACACTTCTGTGGGTTCTGAGGGTGGACATTGGGTCCTCACACTTGATTGCAAGCACTTTACTAACCCAGCCCTCTTCCTGGCCCTGATGAAGAGGCGGCATCCTTATGGGTACCTGCTGTGTACCAGGCATATTGATAAAGCTTGTTAGCCCTTCTGTGTGCTCTGTAGAGTGGATGCATAGTTAGGTGGTACTTTTCACACTTGGAAACGGGATGGCTGGCAGTGGGTGGTGAATGAAGCCTGGTGTACCCTGTCCCTCGTGAGTCTAGGCTTAGGGAGCCTGTGTACTTTTTCAGGACCTGGCGTTATCAGGGCACCAAAGAGATTCACATGACTTTGGAGGTCACCTGGTGTTGGCTGGGAGGTGTTGTGACTTGCCCAAACCTGAAAGCACCGGGCCTGTGTAGAATGTGGTGGAGCTGCACTGAAAACAGTCTTGGCAGAGTTTGTAAACATCGTGGCCTTGATAATCTACGGATTTGCCCTGCTTTGCTTCTCTCACGGTGCCTGTGGATGAGAGTCAAGGACGGTCCAGTTCACAGCCTAGGCTTGGAAAATCTACCCCAGGATCGTGGGGTTGTTGCTGACACGCGTTACTTGTGCCTGGCGGGTTGCAGAAGACATTCTCTTTTTATCCCCTCTAGGTACCGCACTGACCCAAGGGCGTTTATGTAAAATAGCACTCCCAGTCGGTGTGCTGAGTGTCTTGCCTTTTGTATTTCTACATATATTCCCCAGGCTGTGAAGTTCCAGCTGAAGGGGAAGCCAGGTGTGGAGCTATGGCCCTGTAACCCCAATGCTTTTCTCTTTGGCACATCCACATTGTCAGTGTCTCTCGTGTGCTTTGGGAGCAGTTTTCAGTAACTGAGGGCTTCCTGCCAGCAGACCAGCCGGTATGGCCGCCCAGTGAGTCATACAGGGCGTCGTCATTGGATACCGGATGCCAGAGGAGTGATTCGCATTCTGAATGGGACTGAGCAGTGTAGTGTGAGATTTTATTGTGCTGCTCGGAACGGTGCACAATTTAAAGTGTATAAATTGTTTATTTCGGGAATTTATTATGGGATAAGGAGGGTGGAAGACAAGTGTGACTTACTTTGCTCCCGAGTTAGGACTGCAGCCTTGGTTAAAGACCACGTGCTGAGCGCCCACTCACCAGCTATCGTGCTTGGAGAAACGATGCCACGGATGTGGACCCTGACCCATCGTTACCTCCTTTGCGTTTATGTCCAGAAGTAGAATTGCTGGATCATATAGTTAAGTTTTATTTAATTTTCTGAAGACAGTTCCCACACTGACACTCCGTTTACACTTCCAGAGTGTACTGTTCTTATTTGCACAGTCCCTTCCCTCCTCATCCCTCTCTCCTTCTTCCTTTGTAGTAGCCGCCTAGTGAGTGTCAGCTGTTGCTTTCCCCGCTCGGCTGTCTGAGCATCTGTGCTCTGTGCTCCTCTGCTGTGCACCTGTGTGTGCTTCAGACTCCTCTAGCCCATTGCCTCCTTTGGATCGATCCCTGACTTCCCTCCTGTTTCTCTTGCTCTGTGTGCAGTGCACTTTAAATAGAGCCCATTCATTGACTCTTAATTTGGTCTTCATTATTTGGTTCTTTCAAATAAAAAAACCCCAAACAAACAAATAAACAAAATCCAACAACTTTAGAAGGCTATTTTCCCCTTCCCAAGCAAATAAAGGTGCTATAAAAAGTTATTCTCAGTGTCTGGGTGCCCTTTCCTAGGGAATGATAGCCCTACGAGAAGGGGGACCAGTTGGTACAAGGTTATCTGTACATTTTCATCTTCTAACCTGGTGGTCAAATTAGAACTTTAGCTTTTTCGAAGGGAAAATTGTCGCTCCCCCTCCCTGGAATTCCATCCCCCCTCCCCGTCCGGGAATTCCAGTGGTCGGAAGCTGGGAGTTTGAGACTGAGCATGAGCAACACTTAAAGTTCCAGGCCAGTCCGGGGCTGTTACAGATTCCGCCTCACCAAGAATGGAAAAAATACTTTTCCCTTTACACCTCCGACTATCTAATTCCTTCCCAGCCTGGTTTAGTATTTGAGCTAAGTGGGTTTGTGTGGAAACTGGATGTGAACTAGGGTACGGAAAAGCGCTCGCTCTCCATCCAGGGCAGCTTCACGGCTACAATAGACAAAGTAATTTGGGAGACGGCCTCGCAGAAGTAGCACCGCAGCCGCCCTCTAGCAGTCGCCTAGGGAGGCGCAGGGAAGGACTCGGTTATGAATTGTCTTTGAACTCTCAAGCGTGGAAAAGAGGTTTTGTGGTTTTCCAAAAATTGCACCAAGGTAAAGCAGAGCTCTAACCGATGCAGGTGTGTTGTCAGGCGTTAGCAGTACTGCCCTCACTATGCGTTCATTGGACAGTAGCGCAACCCCAAGAAAAGGATGGTTGCTTGCAACCAAGCGCTTCGGGCAGCCAGGAAATTCCAAACCCAGGTATGGTTGCGGTGACCACCGCGTGCGGCTTTCCCCAGCCCGCGTGGTGGCCAGTATTTTCTACAAGTGCAGCTTCTGACGATGATTACTCTTTCTGCTTTCCTGAAACTCCCGAGGGGCTTTCAGACGCCTGCTCGGCTTTACCCAGAAGGCCGCGCGCCACACGTCTGAAAATTTGCATACACGCCTCTCTAGGCGGGGCCGGAGGAAGGCGTTGTACTGCATCTGGTTAATTTGCATACGCTACTCTGGGGCGGGCCGGGTCGGGCCGGGCCGGGCCGGGATGGGATGGGCGGTGATGGGGTTTCTGTGGGTTAGGCTGCTTCTATTCAGTGGAGTTTCGCCTAGGCGATTTTTTCTTCCAAACCGTAACCGGTTTTTCCGTGCCGAGCATCCTTTCCTGAGCAGCCAGCTCAGCCTTCCCAGTCATTAGGCGCCCCGGGCTCTGGGACCGTGAGGACCTGATGTACCGACGCTACTTCGCAGCAGCGCTGATGCTGTGCCTGTTTCCCGTTGCAGGTGGTTCTACTGGGCATGGACATCCTGTCTGCACTGGTGACAAGGCTGCAGGACCGGTTCAAGGCGCAAATTGGCACAGGTAAGCCGCGACCAGCAGATTGTTAGTCTTCCCTCCCACCCTGAACTCACCCCACATCACACCTTCACTGCCTCTGAACTGGCACCTTTCCCTCTAATCCCAAAATATTCCTTCCTGCTGTGACCTCGAATATGAAATGTTACCAATTAAGGACTTTATGCAAGATTAGCCATCAGACTCAATGCCAGCCAGTACATGTCCCCAGCCCCTCCTCTGAGAGGCGGTTTTCTTTGAAAAGTCCTACCAAAAAAAAAAAAAAAAGAAAGAAAGAAAAAAGAAAAGAAAAAAAAAGAAAGAAAGAAAAAGAAAAAGCCAGTTGGATTTTCTCACAGATTAAATGTCACTAAATCAAGGTGTTCCGTGGTGGCAGTGTAAACACTAAGCAGTTACGTTTATACGACTGTATCTGTAGAGAATCTTCCCCATTCCTTTTTCTTTTTCTTCTGTTTTGTGTGGGCAGTGGATATAACCCATGGCCTCTGTGTGCCTGTCCAGCACTCTAACCATTGAGTCACAGTGTTAACTGGTATTTCTCAGATCTATTTTCATTTAATCGTTTCCGTTCTGGTTTCCAGTGTTGCCAAGTCTGATAGACAGACTGGGAGATGCTAAGGACTCCGTGAGGGAGCAAGACCAAGCCCTGCTGCTAAAGATCATGGATCAAGCTGCTAACCCCCAGGTAGGACAAGAGACGCACACCTGTGTGCACAAACAGTGTTTGTACAACTCCCTGGGCTTAATTTCTTTTAAGTTGAAGGGTTAGGGATTGTCTTAGTTAGGGTTTTTGTTACTTTGACAAAACACCATAACCAAAAAGCAAGTCAGGGAAGAAAGGGTTTGTTCAGCTTACACTTCTGCTGCACTATTCATCACGGAAGGATGTCAGGACAGGAACTCAAACAGGACAGGCAGGATCCTGGAAGCAGGAGCTGATGCGGAGACCGTGGACGGGTGTTGCTTACTGGCTTGCTTCTCATAGCTTGCTTAGCCCACCTTCTTATAGAGCCCAGGACCATCAGCCAGGGCACTGCCCACCATGGGCTGGGCCCTCACGATTAATCACTAATTAAGACAATGCCCTTCAGCTGGATCTCATGGCTGCATTTTCTCAACTGAGACTCCTTCCTCTCTGATGACTCTGGCTTGTGTCAAGTTAACATAAAACTAGCCAGTACAGTGATGAACATTCTTATGACCCACAGTTGGACCTCATATGAAAGATTTAAATATAGAACTAGCAAAATGTATCATTTGAATAAATTAGTAGGTTTGACATGGGTATTGAGTGTTTGATCAATCTTTTGTGCCCTTCAGGTCATTTAAGAGACTGGCTCCTGTTTTCTCTGGAAAGGGGCAGCTGGTGGTATCTGAGGAGCCGGTGGGCCTGGCTGGGGCCCTGGTTTCTATATGACAGTTAGCTGGGCTTGCTAGAATGGATGGACGCAGCGCTGTCTTCCAGGGTCCTACTGACCATTGCTGGGGGATGCAGCTGGAGCAGCCAGCAGCGGTTTCCCAGGGGAGATAAAGAAATATTAGGGTGAGCCTCAGCGAGGAGCTGTTCCGGACAGAAAGCAGTGTGCGCCTGTTGTTGTTTGGGCTGCGCTGTTCTCAGTCAGAACATGGGGTAATTATACCTCCTTGGGATGCGGGGAGGGTCCAGCAGTGTTACATCAGTGCACTTGCTTTTTTTCCTTTAACTGGATGTTGTTGATAAAATATTTCGCTGTCCTACTTCAGTGGACCCTGAGAATGGGACCAGTGTGGTTCCTGTAAAGAGGCTCTTATTCTGTCAACTCCTTCCTTACCACAAAGGGCTGCAGCATCCTTACCCCCTTCCTTACCGCGAAGGGCTACAGCATCCTGACCCTCTTCCTTACCGCGAAGCATCCTTACCCTCTCTCTTGTTTATTGTCACTTGCAGTACGTGTGGGACAGGATGCTCGGAGGTTTCAAACACAAGAACTTCCGCACGAGAGAGGGCATCTGCCTCTGCCTTATTGCAACACTCAATGCGTAAGTCTGCAAACTGTGCTTGGCCAAAGCTTCTTTTGTTTGATATTTTTCAAGACAAAGTTTCTGTGTGTAACAGCTCTATGGTTTTGGCTGTCTTTGATCTTACTCTGTAGACCAGGCTGGCTTCGAACTCAACAGAGATCCGCTCGCTTCTTCCTCAAGTGCTAGGATTAAAGGTGTGCACCTCCACTGCCTGGCTTTTTTTTTTTCTTCTTTCTTCTTTCCTCCTTCTTCCTTCTTCCTTCTCCTCCTCCTCTTCTTCCTCCTCCTCCCCCTTCTTCTTCTTTCCTCTTCCTCCTCCTCTTCCTCCTCCTCCTCCTCTTCCTCCTCCTCCTCCTCCTCTTCTTCTTCTAGATAGGGTCTCATGTGGTTCTCTGGTCTTGAACTTACTTTGTAACTGTGTGTATCTTGAACTTCTGATCCTCCTGCCTCCACTCTTCAAGAACTAGTATTACTGACACAGTCCCAGATGTGTCCTGGTTATTTGACTCTGGGATGCTGAGTAACCATTTTAAAGGCTAAATTATATTTCCAGCCCCTTGGCTAAAGCTTTAAAAACAAGACAAACCAACCACCACCCTTCACTCTTTCTTCTGAAGTAAACAGGTAGTTGTAAAGAAACGTACTGGGAAGTAGCTCCTTCCCTCCTCCTGCCCAGTGTTGGATGTCATACAGGACAGCGTAGCTTTCAGCAGGAAGTGTGGGTGCTGCTCACAGTTTGTCCACATCACCACAACTGCACACAGGCCTTGTATGTATGTTTGAGGCTCCCACCCATTGCCGTTTTACCACACACGATAGCCTGTGGCAGCCACCGATTTGTACTTTTATCTCAATGACCTTGTCATTTCACACTGTTCTACGAGTGGAATCCAGTCTTGTGTACCCTGTCAGGGTTGCCTTCTAGGTCTCTGCGTAGTTAAATTCCCCAGAGCTTGCACTGTATGCCACTGGTGGAGATGATTCATTTTGTTTCAGTGCTGGTCAGAATCCTTTGGTGTAGAATATATACTGCAGATGTAATCCAGCTTTAATTAGCCATTTATCAATTAAAATGTGGTGGCTTCAAGTTTGGGCCTCCTAGGAGTAAAATTGCTACACATATGTATATAAGTTTCTGCACAAGTGTAAATTTCAGTTCTCTGAGGTAGAGTACAATGGAAGGGCCATTTCCTAAGCCCGTTTTTTTTGTTTGTTCGTTTTTTAATTTATTATGTTTGGGAGTTTTGCCTGCACGTACGTCTGTGCACCGTGTGATTGCTTGGTGTCCTTGGAGCCTGGAAGAGCGTGTTAGATTCTCTGGAACTGGAGTCCAGATGGTGGTGAGCAGCCGCGTGGATGCTCGAGCCTTCTGGAAGAGTAGCCAGTGCTCTTAACCACTGAGTCATACCTCCACTCCCCAGCCCATTTCTAGTTTTTAAAAGAAGCTGCTGGAATTATTTCCGGAGCCGTCTGTGCTGTTTGTAGCGTGTATTCACAAAGTAGGTCTGGGACATGGGCATTGGAGTGGCGAAATGGCTGGCAAGATGGTGCATGATTAAGAGTGTTTGCTTCTCTTCCAGAGGACCTGAGTTTGGTTCCCTGCACCCACATCAGGTGGCTCACAACTGCCAATAAATTTTGTTTCAGGGGACCTGACATCTTCTGGCACACATACAGACAGACAGACATGCACATAAATAAAAGTAAAGATGGAACCTCAAAGAAAAGTGACGAAGTTCCCCAGTAGAGCAGGGCCTAGTCAGATGCCCCGCGGCCATCTTGTCACCAGCACCAATCACAGAATGTCCGAAAGCACCCCCGCCCCCAGATGACCCTGAAGAGTTTGGTTGGCTTCACTGAGTTTGGCAGAACAGGAAGTATGAGTTGCACCGCAGAGAGATGGTCTGAGGCAAGCGCAGTGGCAAGGTGCAGGCCTGGTGTAGACTTCAAGGCCAGGCCATGGAAGAGCACAGAGCATGGGCTCAGCAGTGGGATCTGGGGTGCTTTAGAGCCATTCCGAGGGGCTAATCCTGGGGGTGGAGAAGGGCAGGTGTGGGCGGGGCATCTTCCCTTTGTTCTCACTCTTGCCTTTTCTTTCTAGCTCTGGGGCACAGACTCTAACACTAAGCAAGATTGTGCCACATATATGTAACTTACTGGGAGACCCCAACAGCCAGGTGAGTGGAAAGAAGACCCGCAGCCTGTGAAGGTACATTGTGGTGTGTGTGCGGCAGGTGGGTGGACCTACCTCTGGGGAGCTCTGACTCTGATGTAAGAGATTAGCTATTCACCAGCATGCATAAAACATCTCAGCTAATGTAGTGGCCACTCTACCTTCTCCTGTACTGAGAAATCACAGTGATTTCCAGGTACCAAATCATACTGTATAGTCTACCAGTTATAAATGACCACAGCTGCTGGAGAGATGGTTAAGAATGTGTGTTGTTCTTTTTTTTCTTTTTTTTTTTTAATTTTCTATGATTTATTTATCTTTATTTTATGTGAGTTGGTGTGAAGGTGTCAGATCCCCTGGAACTGGATTTTCAGACAGTTGTGAGCTGCCATGTGGGTGCTAAGAATTGAACCTGGATCCTCTGGAAGAGCACTCAGTGCTCTTAACTGCTGAGCCATTTCTCCAGCCCCGTGTCTGTTGTTCTTGCAGTGGGTTCAATTCCTAGTCCCTCATGGTGGCTCACAACCACCCGTTACACTGTGGTGCCCAGATATATATAGGAACAAAACACTTATGCATAAAATGAAACAGAGCAAAACCTAAAATGGCCTCAACAGTTTTTCAGAACAATTTTGGTGCTTTTATCTTTCTCACCAGTAGGCCTTCAGCCTTGTTTCTGCATCTGTTTTCTGCAGGACTCCCTTATAGAAGTCCCATTTGGAGATGCCAGTGTCATTACATGGTACCTACTTGAGGTTGTCTGTCGTTAAGCTGGCAGGTGATAGGGTATGGTGGCCTTGGATCTGTGTGCACTGTGGTTGAGAGACAGAGCAGGCTAGACACACCGTCCAGCACGACGGCACTCATCGCTCACTGCCTGTTGTCTGGTTTGTGGACTAGGTCCACAGAACTACGGCTGGTCACAGGGAAGGGAAGCTCACAGGGAAGGGAAGCTCACAAGGAAGGCAGGCTCATAGGACTAAGCAGGCTCACAGGGAAGGCAGACTCACAGGTCTAAGTGGGGAAGATGCTAGGGGAAGCTCAGTTGGAAGGCATATAGCACACAATGTATTTCTGTAGCTGGAGTGGGCACCATCCTCCAGTTGATAGGAGAGACACCCCACACTGGCCGCACCATGTGAGGCACAGTGATACCCGGCAGGACTCTGCAGAGCACCATCCTTCCCCACAGCGGATGCTGTGGCATCGCTGTGCACTGGTCCTGGATGGTGTTTAGAGGAGAGATGTGAAAGGACCACCTCACCTGCTCAGGGCCCTCTGCTGTGCCCTGTGGGAGTAACATCAGCGTTTCCTGCTCAGAAGCTCAGATCCCAGTTTATAGACTTGAAAGTGATGTTTTATTCCCTGTAAAGCTATTCAGATGAGCCTCAAATTCTACTTCCCCCAGGTTTTTACTTCTGAAGTTTTCCACCAGCTGCCCTGAACTGTGACAAGGTTGGCGGCCGTCTTCTCACATAGCACTGCTCCTTGACTCCATGTCCCTTGTTCCGGTCAGAGCTGATGCTAGTGTGGGAATCTCTCTAGGGTTTGGGCAAGGTTCTCCTTGTTTGGGAGTAACTCAGATTAAATATCACATGATCCGAACAGTCCCACATTCTGAACACATTAACTCAGTTGTTTTTGTGTTTGATGGTAGAGATGGCATTGAGTATCAGTTTGAAGAGGCTCAGAGCTACCTGGGCCAACACAAAAAGCCTAGAGTAAAGACATGTCCAGGTCTTGCACAGCTGTCCCTGGTATACACCTTGCTCTTGAGCCTGCCTCCCTGTTCGGACAGTAGTGTGTTTGCTTCTGGATCTTTCTGTGCTTTGGAGAGCGATTGTTCTTAGTCTCTGGTATCACTGTTGGGCCCAGCTTAAGAGTCTGCTTAGCCTGAGATGGGCATTGTCATTTGCAGAAATCTCACACCTGCCACATATACTGGGTTTTTGAGATACCCTTAACTGTGTTATTTTATTTATTTGTTTGTTTTGTTTTGTTTTTCAAGACAGGATTTCTCTGTGTAGCCTTGACTATCCTGGAACTCATTCTGTAGACCAGGCTGCCCTCAAACTCAGAGATTCACCTGTCTCTGCATCCTAAGTGCTGGGATTAAAGGCATGCATCACCACTGTCTGGCATGTATTGTTTTAAATATGTGAAATACTTTATTGTACTGGTATCTTAGTGTCTTCATAGTATGGATGTACTTTGCATATACCCACACGGAACACAATGCTTCTGTGTACGGAAAGGATAGTTCTTTACCCAAAGTTAGGCGCTCCTGGGCTGGTTCTCAGTAGCAGCAGCGATGCAACATAATGTGAAGGAAAGTCCTTTAGCGGGACTGTTAGCTGCTCTAAATAACTGTCAGGGAGACTGTCCAAACTTAAAACTAGGAGGTGTGATGGCAGGCAGAGACGGGTGGACCTCAGAGTTTAAGGACAGCCTGGTCTATATAGTGAGTTCCAGGTCAGCCAAACTGCATAGCGACGCTCTGTCTCAAAAGTAACAAATAGGAACACTTTCTGCTCTTACAGAGAACCCAAGCTTGGTTCCGGACACTCACATGGCAGCTCACAACTGTCCATAACTCCAGTTCTGGGTGGTCAGTGCCTAATTGTGACCTCCAAGGGATCCAGGCACACACAAAATGCATATACATACATGCAAGGCAAAACATGAATACATATAAACTTTAAAAATTAAAAATAAAACAAGTGAGTTAAACTTTTTTTAAAAAATATTTATTTATTTATTATGTATACAATATTCTTTCTGTGTGTATGCCTGCAGACCTCATGACAGATGGTTGTGAGCCACCATGTGGTTGCTGGGAATTGAACTCAGGACCTTTGGAAGAGCAGGTAATGCTCTTAACCACTAAGCCATCTCTCCAGCCCAAGCCTTTTTTTTTTTTTTAAATAAAAGATGGGAAATGTGAAGTTGTGTTAACAAACTAAACCTCAGATTACCTCTTCATGTCCAAAATCCGATCAGTACTTGTACTGTATGTCTCTCAGGCATAGCCTGTTGCAGTGGTTTGAGCCATAGGCCTTTAATAAGAAAATGCTTATTACTTCTTTATTCTCGTTCATCTCCATTTCCTGTCATGTGGAAAATGAGGCTGGTGCTTCAGGGCGACTTGTGTTCCCTGTAGTAGACAGGATTTATAGGCTGAGGATTCGCTACTAAACACTGAAAACAATCCCCACGGCTGTACCTGCCTTCAGAGGCCTCACACATGTGAGACAAACCTTCGACCCTTGAGCTCCAGCCCCTGCCCCCACATCTGCCTTTGAAGTAATCTCCCTGCATGTAAAACACCTGCACTTTGCTTGCACCCTGCATCTTACAGAAATATATGCACCTCACTCCTCCAGTCAGCTTAGCCATCTACTGTTCCATCACTGACCTCCAATGCTTAACACTTTACAAAAATATTAACTTTATTTATGTGCATGTGTGTTTGTCTATGTGTGGGTATGTGCACGTGTGAGTACAGGTGCTTGAGAAGTCAAGTAAGGCTGTTGGATTGTATGGTGCTGAGATTACAGGCAGTTGTGAGCTGCCTGACATGGGAACTGAACTCAGGTCCTCTGCAGGGACGGTACTCAAGCATCTCCACAGCCCTAGCTCCAAACCTTATCTTCTTAGAGGTCCTGTCCCTGCCTTGGGATTTAGGGATTCAGCATTTGCATTTTGGTGAATGTGGCATGCGATTTAAAAAACAAGATGTATTAGAACGAGAGGATTTTTGGATCTCATTACCTGTCATGTGAGACGAGGTCAAGCAGGGCTAGAAACTATTGCCTGTGTCCCTCCCTTCTTCCTCCTTTATGTAGTAGGCTTTCTTGTAGGACTTTGCTTTGTGGGATCACCAGCTTCCCAATAATGAAACGGAGACTTAGTAATTACAAAGTTTGGCCTTTAGCTTAGGCTTTTCCCTAGCTAGCTCTTCTTATTTAATTAATCTGCTTTTGTTAATCTGTGTTTTGCCACATGGTTCAGTTAGCTCTCCTCTGTACCATGCCTGACTTGTTCTGCACCTCACTGGTGTCTCCAAGTTTCTAGATTCATCTTCTTTCTTCCTGTCCCCGGAAATCCCGCCTGTCCTTTCCTGCCTAGTTAGTCACCATTCGGCTCTTTATTAAACCAGTCACAATGACACATCTTCACACAGTGTAAACAAATGTCCCACAACACCTTCATATTTTGGTTTCATTTCTGCAGACCAAATCTCAAACCCTGTTGCCTCCCTGTCACTTCCTACTTGGCCTTTATCCCATTCTGTATTGCAATTTATTATTTTCTTTTTGTGTACAAAATTGTACATTCACAGAAAAGCCAGAATTGCAGTTGAGTGAGCACTTGTGTCTGTCAACTAGCCCTGGCATGTAACATAAAGGGCTGGCTTGTTGGGGTTTCTGTCCCGCTCAGTACCCCACAGACAGCAAGCCCCAAAGAAAATCACACAGAGATCTCCATAAGTTATAAAACTGATTGGCCCATTAGCTCAGGCTACTTATTAGCTCTTGTAGCTTATATTAACCCATTATTCTTATCTATGTTAGCCATACGGCTCGGTACCTTTCACAGCTGGGCAGGTTACATCTTGCCTCTTTGGTGATCTGGGCAGAACTGCTGAGGGAGCTTCCTGCTTCCCAGAATACTTCCATTCTCTTTGTTCCACCTCTACTTCCTGTCTGGTTTTCCCACCTATACTTCCTGCCTGGCTAATCAGCATTTATTTAAAATATGATTGACAGAATACAGACAATTCTCCCTCACCACTGGCAGATAGATCTATTTTACGTCTGCTTGTGTGCCATATACTTGAAAACATGTATTTGTTCTCTGAACCTTTTGGAAATAACACACAGACATAATATTTTTACTTCAGAAAGGTCAGTGTTTCATATAATAACAAAAGTATCTTCTCATATAACCACATGTTTTTGAAAATAAACATGCATATCTGTAAAGAGGCATATGTGGGGGTCAAAGAGCAACTTGTGGAGGCAGTTCTTTCCTTGTGCTTCAGATCTGGGGATCAAACTCAGGCTGTCAGGCTTGGTTGGTGCCAAGCAACTTTACTTGCTGAGATATCTCAATGACCTCACATGCATTTTTATACTAAAGAAATTTAGCATCAAGTTGGTATTTAATGTATGCTCCATAATGAGGCTTCCCTAAGAAAACACATCCATCCTGTCTTTTACTCCTGATTTCATGGCCTGTGCCGCAGGTCCTTGTTTCTGGCCAGATGATGTGCCTGCAGCTCGTGAGGGCCACAGTGCCTCCTGCCTTTGAGCAGCACGGTCTTACTTGGATCCACGCTTCTGGCTGGACCTGGCGAAATCTCACTCTTCTGAGCACTGACATGAGTCCTCTCTTCCTCCTTTCCACCTTCTCTTTTTGTAGTGGTGTGTGTGTGTGTGTGTGTGTGTGTGTGTGTACACTTGTGTGCGCACTCATATGCTTGTGGAAGCCAGAGGACAACTTTGATATCATTCTTCAGGCCCTGTCCAACTTGTTTTTTGAGATAGTCTATGTTGCTAGAATTCATCATGTAGGCTCTGCTAGATGATCATTGAGCCTCATGATCCTTCTGTCCCTGCTTTTCTGGTGCTGAGATTATAAGCAAGCCCTCCTGGCTTTTTAACATGAGTTCTAGGGTTCACTGGGTCCTCGTGCCCACAGGGCCAGCTTTTTACCCAGCAGCCCTGATCCTGCCTTTCTGCTATGATCTTTGGTTTTGGACATTGACCATATCCTGACTTCTATTTAAAGTAGCATTTGTGTTCAGTGTTAACTCGTTTTAGTATTGCAAATCCCTTGAATGTGGGCTCTTACAGTAGATTATTTCTCAGTTTTGTTTCTTTTACTCTCCTTACACATGAAGCTGATGCTTTATGTGTGATCTACTTAGACACTGTCTTAGTTACCATGACCAAGGCAACTTATAAAAGAGCCTGTGTATGTAGAGATTACAGGTTCAAAAGGTTAGAATCCATGACCATCATGGCAGGGAGTGTGGCAGCATCAGGCCTGGTGCTAGAGCTGAGACTCAAATCTTGATCCACAAGGCAGAGAGAGAGAGAGAGCGTTATCTGGGACTGGCATAGGCTTTTGAAACCTCAGCCTACCCACATGGGCACACCTCCTCCAACAAGGCCACATCCCTTAATCCTTGCCAGACTGTTCAACCAGTGGGGGGTAGGGGGGATTCGTGCTCCTCACACCACCTCACTTCTGATGCTTTACTTGTAGCCTAGCTTAATGGTTTTTTGTTGTTATTTTAATTCTGTTTTCCTGATCCCAATGTTAAAGAATAGGGAGGACTTGGGAGTCTGTATAAAAAGCTGGGGTCTTTTTCTACAATTTGGGTTTCTATGATTTGGGATTGTTTTATGAGCAAGATGTGCCCTTGTTCAGTCTGGCCTGTCCAGGGATTGTATGTGCTGGTAGGCTGGCTAAATTGGGGTGAAATATAGACTGTTTAGCTTCTGTTTGGAGGAACTGGGCAGTGACATGAAGCACCTGTAAGATTTCTTCTTTTATGTCCAGGTTAGAGATGCAGCAATAAACAGTCTGGTGGAGATTTACAGACATGTAGGCGAACGTGTGCGGGCAGACCTCAGTAAGAAAGGGCTGCCACAGTCCCGGTGAGTGTGCGCTTTCTCTTTTTTCCACTTAATTTTTTTAAATGTATTTATTTGTCTCTGTGGGGGTCCTTGTGCCACGTTGTCAGAGGACGACTTGCAGGAATAGCTCTGTCCATGTGAGCTCAAGTCCTTAGCGCTGACAGCAGGTGCCTTTACCTGCTGCCCCTTAGAGATCTTTATTTAAACCTGTATTGATTCTGTATATGTTTGTGCATAGTACTTTTTCTCCACCCCTTCCCCTGCTCGTTTTCAGGTTTACTGTTGGTTCATGCTCCTATTTTTGATGTGGTAATCTTATTCAAAGAATGCATAGTTATGAGGCTGGTGGCCAGAAGTCTTCTCCACACTAGACATCAGTGGAAGTCTTTTATCTTATTCCCTCAAAAATAAGACTCGGGGCTGGGGAGACAACGGCGCAGGAAAGTGCTTGCCTTGTAAGCTTGAGTGCTTAGGTTTGAGCCTCAAACCTCACTTTTAAAAAGTTGGATGTGGCATGTGCTTGTAGTCTCGGCACTGGGGAGATGGAGACAGAAAGATCCTAGAGCTCCCTAATCAGCCAGCCTAGCTGACCTGAAGAACTCTAGGCCAACGAGACTCCGTCTCTAAAAGAAAAGCGGTTGGCACCTAAAGAATGGCACCCAAGGTTGATCTCAGCTTTCACAGCTCCCTCCTTTGTCACCCCCAACCCTCTCTCTCACCTCAGATGACTCATGCCAACAACTGGCCTCGTTCTATGCCTGCCTAAGTTACTGTTCTATTGCTGTGACCAAGCATTATCACAAGGCAATTTTAAAAAAAGCGTTTTATTGGGGCTTATGGTTCCAGGGGGTTAGAGTCCATGATCATCACATTGGGAAACATAGCTGCAAGCAGGTAGGCGTGATGCGGGAGTATTAATTAAGAGATTACATCTGATCCACAAACCAGGCAGATAGGCTGGCACTGCACCTTTCAAAGGTATTGGTATTGAGACATTCAGCACTCATCATTTTGTGGTTTAGCTTAGTGAATGAAGCTGTCTAATGTGGACCTGCCTCTAAACAGCACAAAACACATGGAGACTACATCCTCAAAAGGAGCGTGTCCTTCAGTGTATGAACTGATGCAAGAGAAACAGCACCTTATAGGCCAAGAAACGAGCTGGAAATGGCTCATTAGAGATAGAATTAGAAAATTCTGTAACAACTGATTTTCTATTATTTTGATGATCCTAGTGGGCACAACTCCCTAAGCCTATCCCTATGTCCCAAGATACTGCAGGGGTCCAGATTCTCAAACTGACTTTTGAGAGATCACACAGTAATGAATCAGAGCCAGAGCCAAGACTCATTTCTTTGGACTTAACCTCTTCATTTTCTCTGTTGTTTCATGGAAGAGTTTCTGGAGTCCTGGGTACTAGGGATGTGGCACGGTGTGCTGAAATAGAGTAGGAGTTATTTGCCTAAACAGGTGGGTGGAGCCTACTCCAGGACCCTGGGATGTATGTGAACTAATCAGATGGGAATGAAAGTGCTTTAATTTTTAAATCACATTTATTTTGTATGTATGGTGGTAGATGTATGCCGTGGCACACATTTAGAGGCCAGAGGGCAATACTAGACCATGTCCTTCTGCTTTATGTGGGTTCTGGGAAATCAAGCTAAGGTTGTGGCTGATCACTTACACTGTGAGTGTGTATGTATGGACTCATATGTGTGTGGGCACATGTGTACGCATACATGTTGTCTTAGTCACTTTTGCTATTGCTTGATGAAATACCATAACCAAAATACCTTGAGGGAGGAAAGGGTTTATTTGGCTTTTGCTTCCTCATCACTGTTCATCACTGAAGGAGTCAGGACAGGACCTCAAGCAGGGAAAGAACCTGGGGGCAGGAGCTGATGCAGAGGCCACCGAGGAGGGCTGTTTACTAGCTTGCTCTTCATGGCTTGCTCAGCCTGCTTTCATATAGAACCTTTGACCATCAGCCCAGGGATGGCACTGCCAACCATGGGCCGGACTCTCCCCCATCAGTCACTAATTAAGAAAATGTCTTACAGCTGGATCTTATGGAGGTCGTTTCTCAGTTGAGGCCCCCTCCTTTCCGATGACTGTAACTTGTGTCAGGCTGGTATAAAACCAGCCAGCATCCGTGTGGAGGCCCAGGGTTGTCGTCAGAAACCATCGTCAGTTACGTTCCCGCCTTATTTATTGAGTTAAAGTCTCTCAAACTCAGAGCTTGCTCTAGGGATCCCTTGTCTCTGCTTTCTGAGACTGGAGTTACAGAAGAGCCATCTCACCTGCACAGCGTGTACTGGGGATCTGAACTCTGGGCCTCATGTTCAGGGGCAACCACTGTAACCATGGAGTCATCGCCTCAGTCCTGGGACAACTTTTACATTTTGATTTTCTTTTAGTCTCTTCCATCCAAAAGGTTTGGGTTTTTATATCTTTATGTGTTTGTTTGTTTGTGCTGCTCTGAATGGCCTGGAACTCATCATATAGACTAGGCTGGCTTATGCTTCTGTAGTACTGGGATTAAAGGCCTGCATCTGCCTGACTGAGGTTGAGGTTTTGAATACATGCTTCTTTTCCTCAAATACACACACACACACTTACTTGTATGTATGAGAGAAAGTGAGGAATGGCAGAGATAGGCTGATAGATAGCTGTGGAAGGTGTGCACACATAGACAGTATGCATGGGGTGTGCAGAGAACAGACTGTGGGACTTGGTTCTCTTCTTCACCTTACGGGTTCTGGCGATCAAACTCGGGTTGTCAGACTTGCCAGCAATCTCTATTACTGACTGAGCATCTCACCGGCCCCAATTAGAAACTTTGGTATCCTTGTTCAGGAGGGAAGACTTAAGCTGAGCAAGAGAAGCTTTTGGTGTTTGGATGAAGTTTGTTGACTGACATTCTCAGGGTTTGTTTCTTGGGAATGACTTAAAATTTATATTTTACATTATTAAAAATGTATAGCCAAGATTTAAACATAAATCTTATAGTACAATAAGCTGTCTGGGTTGGATTTAATGTAAATACTTAAATTCAATAAAACTAGGGCAAAATGATAGTGCTGATTTATCAAACTAGTAAAGAAATTAATTTCTCCTTTCTTGAGGGTAGTTTAATCAAGGCTACAGGTATGGTAATCTGTATTTTATCACTGAGGCATACCACAAACCACAAGATGTTAAATTGAAATCTAAAGATTAAAAAAATAAAACCATTTGATAGCTTCCGAGGTGAGGTCAGTGTGACTTGTCAACTTGTCCCAGCCTGGAATCACCCAGGGACAGGTGTCTGCATTGGCTTGGCCTGTGAGCTTAGCCTGTGAGATTTTTTTTTAAAAGTTTACTCTTGTGAGACAACCCAACCTACCCTGGGTGTCGCTATTCCTCACGCCTGGGGATCCTGAGCTGTGTAAGCCTGGAGCAATCCAGCTGAGCACAGGCGAGCACACAGACATCGCTTCTCTCTGGTCTGAGCTCCCGCTGCCCTGAAGTCCCTGCTGTGATGGGCAGTACCTGGAGCTGTGAGCTAGAATAGAGTCTTTCTCTCCTGAGCTGCTCTCGTCAGGGTGTCTTATCTCCACAGCAGACGTGGGGCTAGGATAAACCTGGACCTCACCTGTCTATATCTGTGCCAGTTGATGTTTTCCACGAGAGGCCTCCTCAGTTGCTGTGTTTGAAGCTAACAGATGAAGTCAGTACTTCCATGCCCGAGCTGTGCTCTGTTGGTGCCAGCTGCCCACAGCCAGGTTGCAGGTCTCTAAGGTGTAACCATGGTAGGAGCCATGATGAGGCACTACCGAGCAAAGAGTGAGGGAGTTAGTTAACTCGGAATGTGACAGCGATGGGGAGGGCATCCTGCCTGGGAGCATTCCAAGTGAAGACAAGTACCAGGAATGGTGGCGTGTCTGTGGATGTTGTCCTGCATGGTTGTTAAGACCTCACCCCTTGTGTGTAGCCCTCACCCCTTGGAGAGATCTTACAGTACTGTTTTCACAAGTGCCATTGGTAACTGGGACTGTCCCAAGAGCGTAATCCTCGCCCTCCTTCAGAGACTTCAGAGACAGCCAGATGAAAGGGATACCTCTGCCCTAACTTGTAAACCTGCTGGCATGTTCCTGTCATGGCAGAGGGTGTGGTTGTGACACAATAAAGTGGTACCCAAGTCAGGGCACACCCTGGCAACCTGAGCGGTGAGCCTATTTGTAGGCTTGTCCATCCATTCAAGATCTTTGTTGCTTTAAAAGGGAAGGTGATGGAAACATCTTGCGAACTGACATTAAGCCATCTTTTCGGATTTTTGGTAACCGCTGGATCTGAATGTGAGTTACAGTGTTCACTCATGTGTGACCCTGAGTTGGCAATTGGACTTTTATTTTCGTCTCCACTTTGATTTGTGGGTAGTGGTGGTCGGAGTAAATTCAGAAAGGATTCTGAAGCTGTGTCTGGTCCTGGGAGCCTTGAAAAGATTGTCGCTCTTCCCTATGCGATGGGAGGGGTGAGGCACTGTAAAAGTGCCTTCACTCCTTCGTTTGCCAGTGGTGTTCTTGGTCTGCCTGTTGCTTGACTTTAAGTGTTAGAGGGAAGCAGCCTTCCCATTCATCGTCCAGTCAACTTGAGCCAGGCATGGAATGGGCCTGCGAGCGCCTGTTGCGGGACTGAGTGAGTGAATGAACTAACTCCAGAAGATGAGACACATTCAGTGCTGCAGAGAAGCCATGATGTGACTCTCACAGGTGGCCCTCTGCGTTGTTACCACGAGAACATGGCTTCCATCTTAGCCTCCAGGGAGTTTGCATTCTGGGTAAGAAAAGATGTGTGTGTGAAATGGCTGCTCTCAAAGGCAGGGTGGGAGGGCAGGAGAGCCCTGTGACTAGCCGGTCCCAGGAGTGGGTGGCAGCGAGTGAATACAGAGTGTGGTGCTCTGAAGCGTCAGTGTTCGTCTCACAGCAGAGAGTGAGCGAGCACTTTTGCTTGGGCAGCCTCTGCGCTTTGCTTAGAGGTGATGCTGCATCGCTGGTCTTTTCTCTTGGTTGTGGTGTCAGCCAGGGTGGAGTGTTTTGACGCATCAGCAGTTTTGCTTACATTTAAATGCCAAGGTGGGATTATTTGTTATTAGAAGTGCCATGTAGATTTCTTAAACTGAAGCGTGTTCAGTCGCATTTGTTTTTAGGAGTTACTTATAACATTTGGAATTAAGTACAAGTCAGAGAAAGCCTGTAGTGTGAAAGACTTTATCCAAAGTAATTGGCAGTCTGCTTCAAAAGAAGCAGGAGAAATGTGAACTCTTAAAACAAACTAAAAAAAGTTTCCCATTTAGTGTGTGTGTGTGTGTGTGTGTGTGTGTGTGTGTATGTGTGTGTGTGTGTGTAGCACATCGGGTGTCCTGCTCTGCCACTGTCACTCACCATCTTCCCTTTGAGATAGGCTTTCTCACTGAACCCGAAGCTAGGCTGGTGACCAGTGAGACCCAGTGATCCTCCTGTTTCTCACCCCTCGCAGTGTTGTGGTTTTAACACTGGGACTGGGGATTTGAACTCAGGTCCTCATGCTTGTGCAGCAAGCACTGTTACCCATAGAGCTAGCACATGAGTCCCAGGTGTGGTCTTTTAGACTGAGCCTTAAACCAGTGATGGAGCCATTCTAGGTGTTGAATTTTTGCTGGATATTATCTGTTACTGAGGGAGCTATTATTCTTACTAACTGGTTTTTTATACTTGATCATTTTGGGTGGGGGGGCAGATGGTTTATTTTAATTGTCAACTTGATACAACTCAGGATCACCTGAGCATCTCAAGGAGAACCTATCTACATTGGCTAGGCCTATGAACATGCCATGTAGGCTTGTCTGAACTATGTTAGTAAGTGAGAAACCTGCCCATTGTGAGCAGCCCAGCTCCCTGTGTAGGGTCTATACGAGCATGAGCTGATTAGAAACATGTGTACGTTCATTCTCCTCTTGACTGTGGGTGACTAACAGCTTCAGGTTGACTTCTCCAGAGGGATGGACTGTAACCTGGAGTTGTGGGCTGAAGTTGACCCTTTCTCTCCTCGCTTGCTTTTCTTAGGGTATTTGACCACAGCAGCAGAAAAACTAAGGCATCGGAGCAGTCAACTTAATGTGTTTGTTTATCATAAATGGTGATGATTGATATTCCATATATATATTTTTTGTTTTCAAACAGGTTGAATGTCATTTTTACAAAATTTGATGAAGTCCAAAAGTCTGGAACTATGATACAGTCTGCAAATGGTGAGTGGGGAAACCAGTCTCCATTTCTGCATCTTCAGTTGCTTGGCAATAATGCTTTTGCTGTTTCTGAACGGATACTAGATGTTTCAATATGGTTTTATAGGTCTTAAAAGTTAGGTTTTCTCCATCTACTTTGTCAGGCCAGTGGACTTACCACTGGCTCTGTTTCTGAGCCCCCACTGACTCCATTAGATGGTCCGTTCTCATCATTCCACTGACCTGCTGGTGCCGACCTGGTGACGCTTTGCTGGGGCTGTCCTTGCAAACACATTACCACATTACCACATCAGGGCGTTTGTCCCCTCTTCCTCCCCCATGTCTGTCTGTGTTCATTTAGCATCCACACTGATTTCTGTTAGAATGCAGATAAGGTGTTGTTGAACACCCATTCTTACTCATAACCAGACTGCAGTTTTGTGGTCCCCAGGCCTGGTAATGTGGCCTAGACCCCTATTCTGATGTCATTCTTTCTTTCTGAAAGTTCTCTGTGCTCCTGCCATGCTGGCCATCATGTTAGATTAGAACATTCTCAGCATTTCGGTGCTTACAGCTTCCACTTCCTGAAATATGGGTCCCTGCTGTCACTGTGGCCTCTTCTGATATACATGGTATGGAGATGATCTATAGTAGGAGCTCTATTGTCTGTTCTAAATGTTCTTCTTAAATGTACAGCAGCCAAGTAAAAGAATAAATAGACATCCTTAAAGCAGGTCCTGAGAACATCCAGCTAAAGAAAGCCTACTAAGGAAACCCCTTTTGTGACAGCCACCTGAAGTTCACGAAACGGGAATCCCAGGCAGAGAGATGTCCTCTTGGGTGAGGTTTCCAAGTAAAAGACAGATAGCAACAGATAGAGTTGGCATCATCAAATTGGGTGCTCACAGTGCCCGTAGAACCTGACTGGGGAGGTTGAGGCAGTCAACCGGACTTTCCAATAGAACTTCCTCTCCATGGCTGAGCTTCCGCTGCAGTCAGTCTGTATCGTGGGATAGGCAGCACCCTCTGGTAGAAACAGCTACCTTCTGTTTTCAGGGGTGCCGTGTTTTACTTTTGGGCTGTTTCATTCTCTTACTGCTCTGTCACAGTGCCAGTGGAGCCAGCCGAGCCCTAGGAAGGGGGTCTTGGAAGAAGACACTTGGCATAAACATGCTTGGGCCTGAAGTTGGGGTGCCAGCCTTACTCGCAGAGCCAGCTTCTCAGGAAACTCAAATAGCACAGGACAGTTTAACGACGGGATGTACGGTTCCCCTTCACCCATCCTCATCTTATAGCACTGTGGTCAGGGACTTCCTGAGGCCCTCTGCCCCATCCTGTTTGATACACTTGTCAGCTTTCTTTCTCCACAGAACCAACTAGGATGGACACACACACACACACACACACACTCACACACACACACACTACTCTGTTGGCAATTTATTCCTGGATGGCTTTCATTCTTACAGTAATTTTCTTTTTCTCCTCTTGGGAAAGCTGACTAGTATAAATAGCAATGTGGAAAGAAATAATAAACTTACTTTCAAGACATTTGCAGGTACTCTTGGGAGAAGGAGAAGGAGAAGCCTGGCTCCCGAACCCTTTGCTGACTCAGAGAATAAACTTCAAGCAGGGAAGAACACACGGTTCCTAACTGCTGACGGACTATCATCTGCCTTGTTTGTGTGTTCCATCACCCCTACTAGAGTGCGGAGACACCCTAACAGCAAGCGAAACTTTCCACTCTGTCCGTTTCTATGGTTTTGCCATCGCGGACATTCTGTACAAATGGAATCATACACTGCCAGGCTTTCTGTTGGCCTTCTTGTCCAGCACAGCTGGTTCAGAGTCTACCCAATAGGTACCATCTACCCATGCTAGATTCTGTTTTGTGGTTTGTTGTTTTTTTGAGACAGACTGCTGTTGTGTAGCACCATCCTGGAACTTTACCAGACGGGCTTGTGCTCACAGAAATTCCCCTAACCTCTGCTTCCCAAGTGCTGGGTTAAAGGCATGCACTCTCATTCTTTTACTGTGGCCTGTCTACCTCAGCTGAGTCTAAAACAGTGTCTTTTCAGTGATCTGTGCCCTTTCCGTTCCTGATTTGAAAACTTGCCCTCCAGTAGTCAGTGTGAGGACATGGCAGGTGCTCCTCTGAGTGGGACTAGAGCGCGAGTGCCCACGTCCCCGGTAGGAAGTGCAGCCAGTGTTGAGGGACGTCCAGCAATAGCTGATATGTGTAGATATCCTTTCTGTGTGTCCTCTCTCCCACTCTTTAGTTTTGCAGCCTGGGGCAAGCAAGGAAACTCTTGAAACTGCATATTTGCAAAATGAAGCGCGCTGTGAAGCGTGTTCTGTGATTTGCAGAATCGTGAGATAATGTGTAGAGCCCTTAGCACGGTGCCCAGATGGAGCTGGTGCAGCCCAAAACGATCCCCCATCTCTTCTTTCTCCCTCTCTCCTTCCTTTTAACATAAAAAGGATACCACTAGAAAGTAAATTCACATGTGTGATTTTAAAAAGTTTTCAAGTTATTGGAATATGCATTAAATTTCCTCCTGAAAGCACTGCTCTTGTTTCTATGGAGCTTTAGCCCGTTTAGTGCTAGGAGGAGCAGGAGAGGCTCCCTTCCCAGTCCGGGACCCTCTGTAGTGTTGTAGGTGCCATCATGGATACCATACACTAGTGATAATGTTTAGTCTTTCTCTGCTAAAGCAGCAGAGTAAATGTCATTCTCGGCTTCTGCAAGAATCCAGAATTTGGGATTTCATCTGTTGCTACTCCAGCTTCTGTTTCTGAAGGGTTGAAATCACGTGATAGAACAGTAGACAGTGCGGGAAGCGCTGAAGTGCCTGCCAGATTTCCTCTTTTCTGCTCTTCAAGGACGGGGCTGGAGTCTGTTCATCTGCTGTTGCTGCCGGACTTTAGATCCCTGGTGGCGTTCTGCAGGGCTGGGCTTGTACACCTGAGGACATTGTTCTTTATCTATGCTAACTGCGCTGGCACAATAACCCAGTGGCCTCCTGTCAGCCTTGAGGGTATAGCTGTAAGAAATAGTAGCAATTCCTCTACACAGCGCCCACAGGAATCTCACAGCCCACAGGAGCTGTTTCTGTCTCTGATCAGCTGTCTCATAGTTGCCCTCTACCTGGGATCTGCTGCCAGCTGCCATTCTAGCCGCCGCACAGCCAGTGTTTTCCTTATCTTGAACAAGTGAGTCACCGTGCTGGAATCCAGTGGTGTGGCTGGCACTTTACCCTGTGTGATCTCTATCCATGTAAGGTGACCCCTGTCGTCACCTTACAGCGTTTCTATGTGGGAGAGTCAGCTCTCTGGCCGTGGTCATGTGGTAGTCAGAACTGGCGCTGAGGTCACTAGACACGTCTGCAGCTTCCTCTCCAAGCATCTGCCACACAGACTGACACACACGGCACTCCGCTGGAGGTCGGAACTGCTCTGCAGCCAGTGCTCTCCTCTACCGTGGGAGTCCGGAGTCCAACTCCAGTTTCCAGGCTTGGCAGCAAACACTTACCTGCTGAGCCACCTCACTGACCCCTTTGCTCATTTTTAAACTGTGTATGTCTTAGTGATTGAGCTGTATGAATTCTTTCTATACTTCTGGATCATAAGACTCATAGCTCATAAATAATTTGCAGCTCTTCCCTTCCATTCTGTGGGTTGTCCCTTCTTTCTTATGTATCTTCTTTCTTTGGTATCTAAAATTTAAAATTTGGTGAAGAGATTCATCTATTTCTTTTCCTTTTGTTACATGTGAACAGTGATGCTATTTCAGTCAGAAAATGAAGCTCTAAATTAGCACTCACTTGGACAGACTTTTCTTTAAAAGCATTAATTATGTAACTTTAGGACAATTTTATGGGTGATATGGTCCATTGTGGTCTTATTCGCCCCACTGACCTCTTCCCCCTCTTTCTGCTGGATCTTTCTTCTTCCTGTCTAACTCCCTCCTGCTTTAATGTCCTTTTTTTTTTTTTTTTGGTGTGGGTCTTAATTATCATAAATACTTTTACCAAGCCTACTAATGTTAAGGGCGATACCTCTAAGGAAGAGATAATGATCATCTCAGGTTGTTTCTTGATATGCTTAAAATTGTATCCTTTTAAGCCAGTGGGCTTCATTCTTTGTGAGTGTGACATGATTGTGACTGAAATTAGCAGTAGAGAAATAGCCAAGGAACAATGTAAAACGGACTTGCCGTCTGAAGTAGAATGCTTCGTCTGTATAGGATTCCTCTTTGTTGCTAGGCTACCTAAGGGCTTTCAGCTTTGTCTGGCAAAAATATGGGCGTTAAAAATATGTTGTTGTATAGATGTTTCTTTTTCTTTTCTCTGTCTCCATATAATTAGCAAACTCCTTGAAGAACAAATTACAGTTTTCCCTTCTATGGTTTTCAAAAAGCAAATTATTTTCTGTGTAAGTTTTTTTTTTCTTTTTAATCAAGCAGATGTGCTATAGTTATAGGAAATTTGACTCTCAGCGTGAAAGAGCATTAATTATGGACTAAGCAGTGTCCTTTGTCTACAGCCACTTAACAGTCTTAAATTATATTTGATTGACATGAGGCCATTTGGTTAGAAAATTCACGTGGTGTTGTTTCCTAAGAAAAGCTAACATGTTGATGAGGGGAGCTGGAAAGCATCATGTTGATTAAATGCCTGGAAATGCCATAATCTGTAGTTAAAGGAAAGGACAAAATATCTGGAGGTAAAGTCACACACTAAGTAACAGATAATGATAAAACTTACTTGTTTCACACACGAACGCACCTGGGGTGTAGTTCTGCTGCCAAACACTGCCTTCCTTACATTTTTACAGTAGAAAGTAACTTGCAGAATGTTAGCTAATTCAGCTTTGTTGGAGGTGAGAACTCTCCGTGAGCCTGAAAACAAACACTGATGAGCACCTTAGGTGAGGGTGTTGCCAGGTGTGGGAGGACAAAGCGTCCATTTAAAGGAGGACCTTTATTAGGCAGCCAGCCCTCCTATCAGCTCCCAGTGGCGCTG